TAAAAAACATTGAAACAATACTACTCATATCTAAAATGCGCTACAACTCGGTACAAATGAGAATTTATTATCTATTCAGTTATTATAGAATATAGATGATAACCTCACCTTTCCTATACCTTTCAAACAATCTAAATGATTAATGATCCCTAATACACGCGGCATTCCATGAACTTGGCAGATATTAAGGAATTCGAAAGTTTCCATTTCAAAACCATACGATGCATCAACCATCAACAATACCTGAAGGAATAGTATTAAGATAAGAATACCATTAATGAATTCATCTTAATCCCTAAAATCGAAGTACCTACCAAATCAGCTATTTTCGCTATATCAATCATATGATTGATGTCGTTTTTTACTTCGATGAATTGAACTCTACGTTTCTTCCCTGTCACAATAGTCACTGGCCCTGTAATAATGGCGAGTTAATAAGAGGCTCCTACATATCAGCAACTCTAGCAGCAATGCTACAAACCTTTCAACTCTTCAAAACCACTCTTTAGGTAATATTTCACGAGGCCTCGAAGGAGTGTGGTCTTTCCAACCTGGAAATTGCTTTTGAAAACGGAAACAAAATAACCACCGTGACCATAATGATGCCTTGGGAAAGCGAAATTCTTACTTTACTGGGGCCAACAATAGCCACGATGACTGGAGGAGGGATGACAGGTTTCCTGTCCATGAACAAAATATGCTTCTTCCTTTCATTGATATCGGCCGCTCTACAAAGGAAACGATTGAGTTCTCACCTTGATTGATGAAGAAAAGACTCATTTGTTCTTCTTAGCTTGTAATGCTCATATTGTGCACTATGTTCTATTCTCAATATGCAATGGTTCCACTTGCACGCTCTTTGCTGGACAGACTTCAATATCCTGTTTCTAGGCCATACACTTCGTCCCGTGTGTGTGTATTGTCTGTGTCAACACAACTCGGCCTTGACGGACTACTTGAACTCAGCCCTTTACCGCCTCTGCGCTCTCTAGCGGGTCCCTCTCCTCTCCAAGGCTTAGTCCTAGGGCATTCTCTAATCGTCTGTGCTCTAGCCATCGCGGCAGGACCATTGAGGAAAAATCAAGTAGTCCGTAAACCGAGAGGGACCCAACTCAATTAGCCTGGAAGCAGATATATCATCATTGGACAGATCTGATTTTGTTTTACAATTGAAGCAGGTCCACGGCTCGCACGCAAGATCCGGACAATTGCAAACCCGCCAAAGAAACTATAACCAGTGGAGAGCGCTAATATTGTTACCCCATTAGCCAGAGAAAAGGAACAACTGCTAATTTTCGAAAGCCATTGTGTAACGGATACAACAACGTAACGTCCTACGGTTGACCTCTCCTTAAATAAGCTGGTCGACTTGCGAATCCAGCTATTCCTAAGCAATACGCTGATATTTTGGTGCGAGTGTTGCACCAGCTCGAATCGAGCCGTATACCAGTAGACTGAAACGCGCTTTTAGCCAGCGACTCGAAACTCTTGAAAAGTGGCGGGACCCAACGTTCAAAGCAAGTCTACTTCGAAGAAAGACATTATTCGAAAGTACGGGACTTCCTTTAAAATTGGGTCCCACCACATTCAATCAATGTTGAGCCACTTTTACATCGTTCGATGGTACACAGCTCGATTCGCTGAAACAACGCTGGATTCGCAAAAGTTTGACATCGGCCCAAAGAGCCGTTATTACAGAACTTGCAACAAACTTCGCCTATACGAGTAGTATGCATTGCAGATTTCAGCAGATCCAGCAGAAGCGGTTTACGGACTACTTGATTTTTCCTCAATGGTCCTGCCGCGATGGCTAGAGCACAGACGATTAGAAGATGCCCTAGGACTAAGCCTTGGAGAGGAGAGGGACCCGCTAGAGAGCGCAGAGGCGGTAAAGGGCAGAGTTCAAGTAGTCCGTCAACCCCTATTAGCGAACCCACGGTGAAACTCCAGTTCGGGGGGGGGCCACTCCATTGCTATCTTATCCGTAGTACTAGAGAGCAGTTCTTTGGGCTATCGAACACTACGGATAAGATAATAAGTGAACGACTCATTTCGAGCGTACTTTTGATAAGGACCGGTGGATGTCCTACATTCCACACTACCTGCCCACATCCCATCCACTTTTCTGCACAGGTGATCCACCCTGGAGCTCCTGCACCCTTAGCCCTTTGCGGAGGTGTCCTTTCTCCTGGTCCAGGACCGTTCCCTTGGGTCATGGCAGGCGGAAATGTGAAAACGTTTCAGGGTTTCTCACCCATTACACCAATATTTATCAGAAGTCTACTTTAAATGAGTCGATTACGTGTCGTGAGCCCTCTAATCCTTATCTTGAGTTGGAGAAAATGGAGTGGCCCCCCCGAACTGGAGTTTCACCCACATGTACGAATAGAGAACGGGTGAAGAACGGACTAACCAGGAAAGGCATTCAACTTCCCATGGAACTTTGAGATGAGACCCAGATATATCGATAGAGCTTCAAACGCTGATTACAAATATGGAAACTAAAACTGCAAAATGAACCTGCCAAGGAAGTTGTGAGCAGTCAAAGTTGGCTGGAAGTAAAGCATTACACTAGCCTCCGGGCTTTCAAAGTCGCCGCAGAGCAGTGGTGGTGCCCTCGCTCCTCACCCTAGAGGTCACAAGCTCTTCTCCCGTCGGAGCGCAAATTCCGAGAGCACTACCACTACTCCACGGCGACTTTGAAAGCCCGGAAGGCTAGTGTAATGCTTTACTTCCAGCCAACTTTGACTGCTCACAACTTCCTTGGCAGGTTCATTTTGCAGTTTTAGTTTCCATATTTGTAATCAGCGTTTGAAGCTCTATCGATAATATCTGGGTCTCACCTCAAAGTTCCATGGGAAGTTGAATGCCTTTCCTGGTAAGTATTAGAGAAATGAGAGACTGCGAGAAAGCGCTAGAGGCCCGGTTCAAATGCTCGGGTTAAGTAGTCCCGTTGATCAGAGCAGATGCTTCGCCTCTGCACTGATTTGCCGTATCTTCTTGACTTGGCTCCACAAATCAAAAGTGCCTATGAAACGCAAAAGTAAAAAAAAAGGCTCAGGCAACTCGCATGGTGCCATTGGAACGTAAAACCCTTGTCCCACAATTGTCCTCACTTCAGTAAAGATTTACCTGCCACGTGAAGCAGATAACTAACCTTCTAATCGCTTTGCCAGCGGCAACCGCAGATTTGAAAGTGAAAGCCTTCGCATTGTTGCCTTTCACCTTGCTCTTTTCCTTTATCTTCGTTACTTTTCCTCCGACCTTGTGCACTAAAAAACCAAACAAATTACTTCACAATTACTGAACAAATGCAAACTAAGACAGTTATATTTTGGCGTCAATGAAAAAAAGATTTTTGATCCCCAACTTCGTTAGATCTGTGCACAGTCCTCGAGAATGAATTGAACCGTCCGTTGAAGTTTTCGATCCCCTACTGAAACAGAACGGTCAAACAAACCAAACCTCTATGCTCCTTGTTCTTCTGGCTCTCGAAAGCTCCAGTTGGAGCCATGACGCTCTCAGCCCTGTAAAAAGAAAATCAGCAACAAGCGAGAAAATATTCAACGTTGAATCGACAGTAAAGCGACGAAACGAGGAGTCGGTCGAGCGAATGACTGTCACCTGCTTTCTGTCACAATTAATTTGCTATTTATAAATGAGCTCCAATCATCTCTCAGAGCCTATAGGAGGCATGATGTGTGGCCTGGAAACTCTAAGAAAAAGGTTTCTTCCCGTGTAGGTATAGCGGCGAGAGAAATCTTCACTAGTGCAAACTTGAATCGTCCCGTGTGTTACACATTCCAATATAAGAATACAAGAAGTTCCAAGAGACATGAAATGAAATAGAATCTGTAGAAACTCGGAGCGGGTATGGGTCTTTTAGGCGTCAATTAGTGCATACCAGACGATTTGCAGAACGCACAAACTGTCAGTCGTCCAAAATATTTGATTTAGTTTGGCAGGTGCGTTATTTTAGTAGATAGCTATGGTTCTAGCGGTCTGTTCTGTTGACGTTTTTTCAAATTTGTCACGTCTTTCAGTAAAGTTAGGACTATGCACGTAACTAGCTTGTTTTGTTGTCGTCTTTAATGTTTGTGGAGTTTTTGCATCATCTTCGAAAATCCCATTCTGTTGCTTGCGTGGTTTTTTGCTAAAACAAAGTCAAAATCCTGGAGAGAAAGGGTTCGTGCATGGCTGAACCCGCGATTCTAATGAGGTCATCAACTTCGTCCTGATGCTGCTATTGTGAAAATTTGTTTCGTCGTATTCTTCATTTTTGATATTCTCACAGCTTCACTGTGTGGATTGGTAATAGCTGCCATGTTAGACTCTCCATTGAGATAAAGTTTGTTCCAATAAGAGGGGGCATTGCAGTCCCATAGTATGCTCTAATCCCAATTCTGCTCAAGGAGACCTTACTGGTAACGGCCTCATTCTTGCAACATTTACTTAGTTGCTTTTGTGTGTTGTATGATTTCTTTTTCACCGGAAGGTGCGAGGAAGCTTTTGGCAATCAGGAGGTTAGAGCCCTCAGAGGACTCAGCCAGGAAGGAAGAAGAATTCTG